CCCAAGTGCCCGCCATAAACCAATATATATATATATATATATATGTATATATAAATTGTATTATGATGCATGATGTTCGATGATTTTTTCAGACTGAAGAAAAAGTGTGAAAATTGTGCGTTTTCCATTGATCCAATGTATGAGGTATTTATTTATGTAATTTCCTTTAATTTTGCTTATAAATTTATCAGAAGTTAAAAATTTTTCTTAATTATCATTTTCAATCGATATTAGTGTAATATCGCGAATCATATTACCTAAGTGATTTAAAATATTGTTGAATACAAAAATTTAAACTAAAAGTAATACATAGTACTTTATTTGCATCACACTAAAGCTGCACAATGGGCTATTGCATTGGCGACGTTAAACTAAAAATAAAGTCGACCTGAGGTTTATAACTTTATAGCCTAAATTTATGAACATTTAAAATGCTTTATTAGTTTAAAGGAATTCTACAAAAGAACTAAAATTAATTACTTTTATTACAAAAGTTTTATCACTTCATAATATAACTCAAATGTTTCCATTAGGCATAAAATTAAAATTTTATTTTGAAGGTACATCAGTTTTCTTAACTATCATAGACAAGTATTGAGTTCTATCAAATATTTAATAGCCAAATGTTGTTGCCTGGCTCTTTTGAAAACATGCGGTAAATGTATTAAGAAAATAACATTCAGTCAATATAATTTTGCTTCTTTAAAAGCATTTATTTATTTAATTTTATATGCAATAAAAGCACTTATTTAAAATGCTTCTCTGTTGGGTTTTTTTTTTTTAAACACAGATAACAAACACTGAGTCCAAAATTAAGGTCACAAACATAAAATCTGTAAAAATTAATGAACTATTCATTGTCACACTGATGTATTACAATAAGAGGAAGAATATAAGAAGTTAATAATAAAGAAAGATTTTAATTGTGAATTAAGAAACAGGCTATATCAAATAAGTGTTAAATCATGAATCAATGATAAGGCCTTTATCTCGAGGAAAGTCTGTTTAATGTGGAGTGGGAATACCTTGTGCTACTATGCAAGCCTCACCACGAGTACTCATACTGTTTATAAAGAAGTCAAAAATTCTTGTGGCAACGAAGCTCATACCTTCAAAAGGGCGACTTTTAACCCCTGGTGGATATTAGGAGGAGGTGTCGCTATGTATCAGCTTTTTCTAGACCATCACAAGCATGCGTAATAGGATCAAGATTCAGAGGTCTCGAGAGCCCATTCATACAGCAAATATCCTTCAAGAAAATCATCAACAACGTGAGCTCTGTGTGACTGTGCATTATCCTCCATAAAAAAGTAGTCTGGAACAACCTTGCATAGGGCATTTACGCCCCCAGAAAAGGGTCTTTATGCCTGGCATTCAGTCATTTGTGTCCCTTTAACTACATCTTACAGGAAAGCCCGGTTGTTCTGGAGCAAAACGCATCTATCTTGTATACAACAAAAATGTGGCGTGTTCTTTTCAGTGGTGAATCGAAAATCACCCCATTGAGTGATTCCTGTTTAATCTGCATTTGGAGAGAACATTGAGCTTGCTAGCATCCATCTTACGAAAAAGAAATTGACAATTTGGTGAATTGACAATTTCTTTATCTGAAAAATAGAAATGTTGAACAGTTGCATAATACTGCATGATTTTGATGTGGGTCCTGTCACTACTCATTGCTACAGAGATGAGGTTCTTAAAGCCCATGTGAGGTTGTTCTGGGATACTAATGGCTCAGACTTCTTTTTTATGGGCAGTAGTATGCGTCTTTACTGAACTCACATTGTTAAGGATTTTCTTGAAGGAGAAGCTATTCATTCCATGAGTTGGCCCTTGAGGTCTCGATCCTATTGAACATATTTGATATGATCTAGAAAGAGCTGTTTCACAGCGGAATTCCCTCCCAGGACCCTCTACGTTTTTGGAAAAATGGTCTTTGTTGCCACAAGAATTTTTTTGCACTCTCCTGAATGCAGGGCTGATTGGGCTCCGGAAAAAATCCGGATTTCCGGATTTTTCGCTAATCGTGATCCGGAAGTTTCCGGAGATCGAAAGTCCAGACGTTTCAAAAAATCATTGATCACAAAAGTTACCGGAAATCAAATTTTCAAAGGTGAAACTTAAAAACACAGTTTATTTTATTTGTTTGTAAGGGAGAGCCAGATACTTTATATTCAAGATTAATATTAATTTTTTATCAGTAAATAGTTAATATAATCATGAACTCAAGAATAAAAGACATATTTTTTGTAAATTCAATTACTTCTCCAGGTTATCATAGCTATGTGTAAATGGTATAAGTATGTGTAAAATTTTAAATATATTTTAAGTAAACTAAGAAAGATTGAGAAAAAGGGGAAAAAAACCTTGTTTAAATTTTTTTCAATTTAAACTGTTTTTTTTTTTTTTTTTTACTCAAGAAATTTTACGGAATTTTGACTTGGGCTCACAATCACCCCTGTGAATGTATAAGAGCTTGTTGTGATGCTTGTATAGCAGTACATAGAGGTCGCAATCGCTAATAGACTTTTCCTGCCATGAAGAGTTTATCTTTGATTCATGATTTAACACTTTTTGATATATACTTCATTACTTAATTCGCAGTTAAAATCTTTTCTTTAGTGTTATGTTTTTATATTCTTTCTCCCACTGTCATGTTTCCCCTCTCAAAATTTCCTGACAACACATTTTATTAGTTTGCGTAGATTTTATGTTTGTGACGTTAATTTTGGACACCCGTGTAATTGAATAATATTCATTCCATTGTTATTTTTGTTGTCAATGCTTATGAGCACTTAAAGTGTTTTTCAGTTTGGTTTTTTTTTTTTAACATTATTGATAATAATTTTGACGTATTTCTTGTTGTCAATAAAGAAAGTTTTAAGTTTCAAAATTGTTTTCATTCTTATTGCAGCTAGCTAAATATATTTGGGATACAGCTCACATTAAACTGATGCATGAGTCTCAACTGTGTTTAAAGAAGGCACCAGGTTGTGCAACATGGACTGAAGAGCCATCAAATTGTGTAAGTGTCAGTCTTAATATTTATGCCTGTTTTTCTTTTTTTTTACAAAATATTGTAATGTTATGTAATGCACAGCATGAAATATTGCAATTCGGCTACTTTGTGGGATGAAAATGTTCTTAATTTTGCTTCGAACTTTGCAATTTACCCCAAAAATACTCGATTCAGCGGATCCTGTTTAAATTTTTCTCCTTCATGTTGCTGCTGCACGGTATGCAGTTCATGCAGACATGGGGAAATTTAAATATATTATATAATATTGTTTATGCTGTAGAATGTTTTTATTTAGAGGGGATAAATGTAATAACTGAGTTCTCATTGTAAACTATTAATCTAGTAAGAAAAGAATTATAAATTATTCTTTACGAAAGAGTTTTGAAAATTAAAAAGTTTTATATTCATGAAAGCTTTTGTTTTCAGGTGATTTATATAATTTTAATTAAAATAATTTTAAAAAATGCTGTCAAGTTTTTAACATTTTAATTTTTATTGGAAACTCTTTATTTTTGAGGTGTTTGCAATTGTTTCATTTTTGTAAAACCCCATTTAGAATTGTTTAATTTATTTTTTCTTTTTAATTAATTATCTTTTTTCAACTTGCCCTTTCAGTTATGTTTTATGTTAAAAATAATTTATTTTATCCCTGAGAATAATTAAATATTGTTTTTACTTTGTTATTGAATAAAAATAACTGTATTTTAAATCTTAGGTGGAGTTTTAATTGAAAATAAGTCATTTTATGGTTTTTTTATTGCATTTTATTTGTAACTTTTACTTAAATAAGTAAATTTAATATGATCAAAAGTTTCAAAGTGCTTTTTTGCATATTTTTGTAATTTTTTGTTGTAAAAGAAAAGCTAATTTTAACAACTTTCTTGCAGGAGATATGAGTACAGTGTTTTAAGTAATGATTGTATTTTTTTAAGGGACAATCAGTAAAATCAGATAAATTGTTTGTTGCTGTCAAAACCTGTGAAAAATTTCACCTAGATAGAGGTAATTAAGAGCTTAAAGGTTTCTCACTTCTTCGAATGTAAGATCCTTATATATAATTTAAGTCCTTGTATATATTATATTTGTATAATCCTTAATTCCTTATGTATAGCATAATTTATATTTTGTAGGGTCCTTATTTGCTATGTTCAGTATTAAGCATATGATGTTATATTTTAAGTAAGGCATTCCCACAACAGCTCATTATGGTTCATGGAGGTTAAGACACCTCAATTTCATGATGGTGGCAATGTGGTAAACCTTGCTTAACAGCTGTCTTTACTTCCAGAAAAGCTTGTACCTATCGATCTGAAGCTGAGTTAGCTTTGAGCCGTCACCAGAGACCCACAGTTCATTACAATAACAATCTAGTGCTTTTAACCATTGAGCCATTGTGGCTCATGCTATACTTTAAGCTTTTTTTTTATGTATTTGTTATGCAAATTAAAACAGGACACCCACAAGTCAGGGAGAACAGGTAAAACCTGAAATTGTCAGAGAATTTTATATTTACTCTGAAAAGCAGGGAATAGTCAGAGAAAGTTGCAATTTTTTACAAAAACATGGAAAATTCTTATATCATACCTGGAAAATGACCAGTTTTAGAATTGTCAGTAACAGTAATCTGTTTATCTAACATCTGTTACAACTATTTGTTTTAAAAATTTCAATAATTTTAATTTTTGATAAATCTTTTGGTTTTTCACTAATTATGTTTAAAAAATTCTTTAACCTTAAAAATTCTTTGATTAGTTTAAACTATAAAAAAATTAAATTTTTTACAGTTTAAACTAATAAAAAAAATCTGAAAACAGATAGTTTTAAACTTTTTTGAAAATAATTATAATGCTTTAAAATTTATTTAACATTATTTCTTCTTAACTAATAAACAAGCAATTTTCAATTTTTTTCTTAAAGAATTGAACTGTCAATAGACACTAAATCATCAAAAGTTTGTTAAAAGGCCTCTACCTTTGCCATCTTGGATTTTAGGTCAAATTTTTGATTTTCATAGTCTTGATGTTCTTTTGTACTTCAAAAATGTTTGATGATATAGCATTATTTTGCAGTATAATATCTTTCAAAATAGGGGGGGGGGGTAAAGAGGTCACTTTATTAGATGAGGAGGAATTTTTAGAACTTCTTTCAAATTTTCCTCAAAACTTTAAAGCAATAAAAATCTGTGATTTGTGGCTTTAAATCAGTAATTTAAAACTGCACAATTGTCAGTTTTTAGATTTAATTTTATTATATTTTAAACTTATGAAAGCTGATTTGAATAATTCTTATAACATAAATTGCACCCAAAAAAAAGATAATTATCAAAAAAAATTTAAAAACTGTCAAATGCATACTATTATACTACCTTTTCTAAAACTACTGATTGTAAAAACTGTATTAATATAATTTTGTTGGAAAAAATTAAGAGAATCTAAATTACTGCATGCTTTATATTGCAAGTTCTTATTAAACGATGAATAAAACTAATTAATTTCTTTTGCCCGGAAAACATTTTATTTCTCATTTTACACACCAGATGGCAGTGCCAGGATATTTTTTAGGTAATTGTAGATAGTTAGTTTATTTTAAACTAGATGTCAGCGCAAGATGTTTGGATGTCAGAAAAAAAGGCACTTTTATGACCATTTTCTTGAAAATTAACTGATTGTTAATTTTAACTGATTGTTAGGGGTTAAGTACAAAACACATCATGAAAGCACAATTCAAAAATTTGACCTAAAAATTCGAGATAATGAAGCAGGGTTGCAAAAAACCCGGGTTTTTGTCGAAAAACCCAACCCGGCAGGGTTTTTCTGGGTTTTATTGGGTTTTTCTGGGTTCTATTGGGCTTTTCTGGGTTTTTCATGTTTTTATGGGAGGGTTTTCAAAAGAGAGGGCAGGGATAAGTACCTTATTTTAAAAAAACTTATTTTAATATTAATAATTAAGTTTAATTTATAAATTGACTTCATATAGATAATTAATACAAATAAATTGATGTGAAAGTCTGAAAAAAGTTTCTTCATATATCATGATACAAAATGTTATATGTACTCACAAACGTCACACATTTGAAACTTATTTTAACACAGGATTACTTTTTATTCATATTTTAATCTTAAAAAATGTTAGGGGAAATTTTTTTATTTGCATAGAAAGCAAATCAATGGCCATACAGTCAAATCTAGCCAGCAAGGTGACTCTCCAGTCTCCAACACAATTAGTTTCTTCACTGTAGGTTAATTTTTTTTTTAGGCTAGATAACATATATATTTCAATAGAATAGCTCTTTAATATAACAGGGGATGAAAAAAGAAATCAATCTTAGAAAAACCCACTTTAGGGTGGGTTTTACCAGGTTTTTCAGAGTGGGTTATACCCAGTAAAACCCGGGCGGGTTTTATTGGGCAGGTGGGTTTTTTGCAACCCTGTAATGAAGCCTTTAGTAGAAATAGTGCCGCACAAGACGATCTTGACAATGTTTAGAGAAAACACCGTAACTAAAATTGATAATTTTATTTAGTACATGTAGTGAAGAACACTTGGGCCCCTGATGTGCAGAATATCAACTTCTTCAGTGATGCTAAAAATGAAACCATACCCACCATCAAATTACCAGTTCAAAATGTTCAATCAGGACATTGTGAGAAAACTTTAGCCATCATGAAATATTACGTCCATAATAACATCAGAGCAGACTGGCTTATTATTGCTGATGACGATACTTTACTTAGGTAAAACAATAATTTTGAATTTTTATGCATGTTTACATCTTTGAAAAATAATAAATATTATACAGTGGAGAGTAAACTAATATTGAAATGCAAGTTTTTTTTTATATAATCTGAGCATGAAATTAATGATGGTTCCATTGACCACTGAAATTTTACTGGGACCACTGTGAAATAAATATTAGTGGTCTTCCACAACAGCAATCGATGAGAAGTTTGTTTGTTTTTAACTTTTGGTTCATGTTTTAATCTGTATTTTTGTCACATCATTCACTGCATTGCAATTTTTCAGTTAAATTGACTTTATTAACTTTGCTTTTAAACAATCTAATAGCCTCATGGTCTTCAGACTCAATTTTCTTAATTCCTACCTCTGATATAATTACCATTCTATTAAGTTTTTGATACATTTCAATTTCAAAATGTCCGTCATGGATATCAGTTTTCATTCAACAAAAGTAATTCAGCATGCATTATATTGCCTGCATTTTAAATGCTACAATGTACAATGTTAATAATTTAAATTAGTGTTTTAATTATGGACCCGAGCACAAAATTTAGCAAAAAAGTTTTGTTTTCATATTTTTTGGAATTTTTAAGGAGTCTTTATTCAAAATTAACGTTTTTATTGATATATAAGAAAATACTGTGCAATTTCCTTTTGAAAAAATACTTTAAAATTCTACTTATATTGTAAGGAGTCTTGAAAGGCCCTTAAACAATTACCCCCCCCCCTCTTCGAGTATGGTTTTGCTATAATTAATTATAAGACAGACATACAAACTTTCTTTCATTATTATATTTATTAAAAAAATTTTTTAATTGTTATTATTCAGTTTCTGGGTTAAAACAGAGGTTGAGATAATCTTATGGTTGAAATGTACATTGCTTATATTATTGCTCTCCACTCTTGAAATCATGATTATTTTAAAATGTGTATAATTTCAGCTTTCCTAGATTAAGAAAACTGTTATCATGCTATATTCCGGAACAATTTGTTGCCATTGGTGAGAGATACGGATACAGTGTCATCGATGAAAGTGGATATGATTACTTAACTGGAGGCAGTGGGTAAATAATATTTCGTGTTTGTTTTTTAAGGGGACTCTACTCTTCACCCCCTGAGAGAAAGAAAACATTTAAATATGCTCTTAATGAACTTTATTTAATCCTCTCAAATTAAATGATAAAACACATGATAATTTGTTCAATCAGAATAATTTTATTTTATTACCAACACTGAACAGCTGCCCCAATTTTGAATTAATGCTATCAATCAATGTTCAAGTCCTGAGCCTTGTAATTTTAAACATAGTGCAGAAGGCAATGGAAATTCTGAATAACGCATTAAGGCAAACTAAACTAGCCTTCCTAGAGAACTTTTTGATGGACCTAACCCGAGTTGCGTTACATGAAGCGGAAAACCTTCCACAGTTAGCTCTACTGCAAGTGGACTCTGACCCATGATTCCTCTACCACAGAGGATATTTGATATCAACGCTGTGGACGAAGTGAGCCAGGAGTAGAATTCGTATCGACCAGCCATCACCGGGATTCAAACCAGGATAACGTCATTGGGGGGCAAACACTCTATCACCATAAACAATTTCCTAAACAATCAATATTAGAGTATTGATAAATTTTTCTTCTGCGTATCTCTCTACACCAGGATAGATAACTTTATCCTATGAATTGCATTAACTTTCTCATCCTTTAATACATATTATAAATTTAAACTAGAACGCATTGATTATTTTGGTGCTATGGATTGACAACTGTGTCTTCTTTGCATTAGTCTTGGATCAAAATATTAAGAAAAACTTTTTAAAAAAAAACGAATTTCCTTTTTTTTAAAATAAAACTTTATTTTTTGGTAATATTTTTTTTTAACCCACTGACGGTTCTGCACGTAAAAAGTCGTATTTTAACCAGCAGTCTTCTCCTCACTGCAAAACCGGTTTTCCCACGTTATTAGATAGAAAAGTGATGTATTGGGGAGAAACATTTTCCCAATTTCGCTAAACCGCCAGTGGGTTAATAACCTTTACTTTTGTAACCTTTTTGCAATTTAGTGAGGAACTTTTTATTTTATTTTTCAGACAGTAACCTTTTTTCATTTTTTGTATGGTGGGAACCAACTTATTTATTTGATATAAACAGAATATATAATTCTCTTCCTCCATATCTAGAATGGTCTTCTCTATGCCGACTGTGAAACTCTTGGTGAGAAGCTGTTTTTGCCCATCCATCAATTCACCTGACGACATGATCCTTGGATTATGTTTGAAGAATTTAAACATTCCAATCACTCATTCTCCACTCTTTCACCAGGTATCATTCTTATTTTTATTTTCCACTTCATTTGAATGGCTAACATGTTTTTTCTAATTTATTTTGCCTGCACTGGCCTTGCAGATAGGGGGACGAAGAGGGTAATGACTCCAACCATCCTGCTAGTTTGAACATCTAATGGAGGAATAAAGACACTGAAACTGTTACTATAATTTTTGTAATAAAATTAAATATTCTAGCAAGAAAATATTTCGCTGAAGCAGATGAAGTTTTAGAGTATAATAAATATTATTCGCATGTAAGAAAAATTAAGAATTCTTTGTTGGCATCATTTTAAGGGCTCTATCTTTGTATGGCTATGGTAGGAATGCCACATAATCATGCCCCAGATCAGATGACGAGGCCAACTCCTGAGCTGGTACCCCTTTCTCCAAACTTCCACACCACAACCAACAAGAGGGTTTTCAGCTATAGCAGGATCAATGCACCTTGCTGCAGATACACACCAGTTGCTTTGTTGGCCACCAGGATCAAGGGTCCTGGTGGCCAACCCCTGGCTCTCCAACCTGCAATGTGAGCGATGCTAATAAAATGCTCCACTAGGAGGCTTTAATAAGACATCTCACATTACAATGTTAAGCTAACATGGAGCATCATGTGAAATCATCAATCATAATATTCTGAGAGTATCATTTATATTATGCAATATATAATGAACAATTTGTTTATTCTTTTAGAATTTTGTTCACATTTTTTTCTCCTCCTAAAAAATAATGTATTCATAAAAAATCTCTTTATAGGGTAGACCATCCGACTACTCAATGAATTTCCTGAAAAGTGTGAAACATATCTCTTTTCACAAACATTGGTTAGTGGATCCTTATGATGTTTATAAAACATGGTTAAAAGAAGCAAGCCACTTTGAGCACTCAGAATTATAATCGATCTTTGAATGTGGGCACAAACTTGATTGTTGCTGTGTCTTTTATTGTATATAAACGAAATACGTTTCTTACATCTTCACAGTAGTGTGATACATAAATATTTCAATTTAACTGCTGTTTAAATACTGTAAATAGTGTAATTTGCATGTAAATATAATTCATATCTTAATATGTATTTAATCCAAGTGCCATTTATGAAATGTTACATTCTGTGTTTTTGTCTTTGATAAACAAGTTGTCAGTACATTTCCTTTCATTTCAGTATGTTCTTTTTTTTGTGAAAAAAAAAATAGTACTAAGATAAATTATATTTGACATCTGCATACATTGATGGTGTTCTAATTAGTGTTTTTAACTCTATTACACTAGAAAATTTAACAAGTGGGGGATCTAAAAAATGAAGAAAAATTGCATTTTGATAAATAAAAAATAATAATACTTTTGTTATTTTTTATTTATCAAATTGTGGCGTAAGCATTGACTGGCAAAATCTGATATAGATTTGTTTAATCATTTTCTAAAAAAAAGTTAACACTAATTGCACCTATTTAAGTAACAATCAATTATTAAAGTTACATATGTTAATATTAATGATGGATTAAGATAATTTTTCTTTGAATCAATCTTCTAATCCAATTAATTTCTATTTCACTACCACTTAAAAAAAAATCTGGCCAAAGAGAGCAAAAGAATTCCATAATGAATTACATATAGAGAGCATAAAGAATTACATAAATGTAACGGAATTACGTTACATTTTATTTCGTTATATCAAATCGTAAAGCAAGTTATGAATTTCATTTTATTCTTCCGTAATAATTGTTATGTTAATAACATAATTTATACTTTAAAATGTAAGGACACTTTTCTCTTAAAAAAATATTTAATTATGTTTAAGTGGTCAATTGTAATTTTTAATAAGTAAAGGGCCGCAACACTAAATTTTACACAATTGTATTTTTCCTTAATAAATTGTACAAGCAATAAAGTGATTTAAAAGTTAATTTATTATCATTAAGCAGAACTATGATTGATTACCAGAGTTTTTTGATTAATAACCTAAAAATAAAATAATGCTTTTAAAAATGTTTGAAGACATATTGCAGGACATGGCACACACAAAAAAAACGGACTAACAATTTTTAATAGAACTTAATTAAAATTAAATAAATTAACAACATATAATGTATAATAATAAGACTAGACTTTTACTAATAAATAAATTTAAATGGTTTGAAATACCTTTTGGGGCAATGAAAAGGTGCAAACACTTATTGAAATTCTTATTAATGGACCGAAAGTAGTCACCCTATAATCTATCCCATACCTGCCGAAGGCTTCAAGGAATCCAAACTTTAGTAAACAACAATTGTGTACTGACCAAACGAACAATTTCAAACTGTCGTTTTCCTTGTTTAATAAGCTCTAAAAAAGCCAAATAGCAATTCATAAACTAAGAGATATATTATAAATATTTTATATTTAAAGTAGTAGCCAAAAAGAAATTCTATTCAATAATGCATTAACTTAGCCTGAGTTTTTTGTCGCATCCTGTATATAACTAATTTTTTTTAACAAAAAATAAGGTAATAATTAAAATTAATATGTAATTTATGAATAAAATAAAATATCAATAAATACCTGAAAAAGGTAGAGTAAATTAATTTTTAATAACACTTTAAGAACATTAGAATTGCATTGTATTATCAAATGTTTTTGATTTTCGTAAATTTGAAAGATTACCTGTTATCCAAAAGCAACTTCTTATATCTTGAAAAACTGTTCAACACCAACGTTTTTTATTGGAGGATATTGAAAATAACAAGACTTAATGCAAAAGGTTTTGCTAATTTATACTAATGAATTTATAAAGAAAAAAATCAAATGTAGCATTCTTTTAAAATGAAAAATATTCAAAGTTCATAAAAAAAATTTTATAGAAAAGGGAAAAATGTAAAAGAAGAAATGAACAAAAAAATCAAGAATAGTTTCTTACAACGATAAAAAAACAACCGAAAATACATTTATTATCGACACCCTAACTTGATCGTTACTGTTCCTGTGGTCGGAAGTAGTACACTACAGGTAGCAAAACTACTCTAGTAGTTTAGTTTGCATGAGATGTGTTACTTAAAAATAAAATAAAAAACTAGAGTAGTGAGCAGTGCATTATAAATTACCATAATTTGTTGCCATTCCTGGCAACTACTTATAACACGAGTTTAGCAAAGAAATAAGGTTCAAAGGAAACTAATTTTTCAAATATGGTTAGTTCAAATATTTGCTTATGCATCACTGGGCGCAATGAGATTGCCCATGTGGTTGAATGTTAATAAAAATTACTACAAATATTTAAACTTGCCATTATGAATAAGAGCGGAGCCACAATGGTTCAGAGGTAGTAAATGGTGACTGATGCACGTTAAATCTGTCGAGTCTCAAAGTCCTCCATGTTCCCACAACAAATCAATACCTCTGGGGGTACTGATCCAGGAGTTTCCTTGTCTTCTGGATTGGTTCAAAATTACAAGGCTACGGAGTTGAACGTAAGTAGTCGTAAACCCATGAAATTGGGTCGGCTGTTCAACGACGGTTATAAAATAAAATGGTTCAGAGGATAGAGCGTTCGCCTTCCAATGAGGCGAACCGGGTTCGAATCCCAGTCGATATGAATTCCGCATCCGGCTTGCACTGACCCCAGTGCCGACGTGAAATATCCTCAGTGGTAGAAGGATCATGGGTTACAGTCTCCTTGCCGTCAGGCTAACCGTGGGAGGTTCTCATGATCTTCCACTCCATGTAACGCAAATGCCGGTTAGCTTCATCAAAAAGTCCACGAAGGCAAATTTCTCCCAATACTCGATCCAGGAGTTCCCTTTTCAAAATTACAAGGTTATGGAGTTGAACATTAGTAGTCGTAAACCCGTAAAATTGGGTCAGCTGTTCAAAGACGGTTATAAAATATGAATAAGAGCGAGGTCGGGATAGCCTGGTTTGTAGGGCACTGGGCCCATGTCCAAGAGGTCGTGGGTTTGATCCCAGCCGAAGATTCGCCGTGTAGTAAATGGTGACTGATGGCTGTTCAACGACAGTTATAAAATGTTTAGTTGGTCCCCATGATCAGAAAAATTGCAAGATTTTCGGTTCGATTTCAGAGGACAGAAAATGAAACCTAAAATCAAGAATAAGAAATCATGTGGACTCGCGAGTAATTTTTCCAACATGTAAAATGATTGGCACTTTCGTTCACTATGGTCCAACAATATGCCTGAATCGACATGGTAAAGAAAAACTCATTTTGGAAGGAAAAAAATTAAGCACTTTTTACAAACGCTCAATAAAAGAGCACCTTAAAGGGCTCTTAAAAAAAACTAAAATAAGGTACTTTCTAAAAAATGTTATACACCCTTACTATCAATGCTCTAAGTCAAAAGAAAATATATAGTAAAACAACTCCTCCAGACAAAAATAATTTTCATGATTCTAAAAGTAAATATCAAGATTTAAAAGCTAATTGTCAGAGAAAAAATTGAGCTGTTTCTAAATTTATTCAATTTAAAACAGAATGTGGTGCTGTCCAGTCCACACTGTTATCAGAAGCAGTGCTGATTCTTTTAGTTAGCAAAACGTGCTAAACTAAAAGATACTGATTAAGTGATTTTTGGCCAGATTAAACACCCTTGAAATAAATGAGGAAACTAATTGAATGTGCTTAGAAACGTATGCTACTAAAGGACTTTAAACATGTTTATTAGGAAAACTTGCTTAGGAAATTCTTTTGATTAGGACCCAATAACCAACCTCAGTCGCTGCTCAACATTGCCAGTCTCGGTTCTTTTCATGAATTTCCTTCTTTATTTCAAGGACTAAGCTTACTGAAACTGAATGGAAATTACCATGATGAACTTAATGATAATCTTAAGCCATATGCTCTAACTTCTCCACATTGAATCTAAAGATACAAACTTAGCCACTATAGATACATAGAATACAACAGTTAAATGTTATTTAATCAGTAAAAAAATCTACTAATTGGTGTTCTCCACCAGTTGTAGTAAGAAAAAAAGATGGAAATGTGTTGACTTGACAGCCCTCAATAGAAGCATCAGAAGAAAATGACACTAATTGCCAACAGCAGAATGCAATTTATCACTTTTGGCTGGAGTCAAGATCTTTATAAAATTAGATTCTGGATTCTGTCAAATACTTCTTGGCGTCTTTATATCTCACAACATTCATCACACCTTTTGGCATATTTCCTTTCTTACATCTATCATTCAGAATGTCATCAACTCCAGAAAATCTTCAGCGTTGAATATCCCAAGCTTCAGAAGGTCTTCCTGGTATTATGTCATAAGGACAATATACTCATCTGGAGTTCAAAATAAAATTAGTATGACGAACATCTAACATCCACTTTAACCCATCTGAAAGAAACTGGAATCACACCTTAATAAACAAAAAGTGTTACTTCTCTGTCAGGTATACATCTAGATCAGGACAAGGTATCAGTAAACAAATACAGGAATTATGCACTATATTGGCCAGGTATCAGTAAACAAATAGAGAAATTAGTTCGTGTTCACAGGAAGTTAAAAAGTTATAAACCTTTGAAAACAGTTTTCCTTAAAGGCCATGAGAAATTGTAGCTATAGACTTATTTAAACTTTATGCAGAATGGCATTTATCAGTAACAGATATTTACTTGCATTATCCAGAAGTGGAAAAACTGAATAGGTTAATGCCAAGATAAGTGCTTTTACACTGCAAAGTGATTTTTGCCAGACACAGAGTTCTGTAAGGTCCAATAATGGACCACAATTGAAGTTATCAGATGAACTGAGTTACAAGAATTTGCAAAAGTGTGCCGCTTTAACCATATTACCTCAAGTCCAGATAACCTCGAAAGCAATGGTTTTGTTGAAGTGGTAGTGAAGATAATAAAATTAAGTTTCAAAAAGTTTAAAGATCCTTACTTGGTTTTGTTGAGGTATAGAATGATGCCTTTAAAAAATGGGTATTGGGAGTTAATGTTAAATGTTGGTAACATGATGCAGGGATTCTATTTAATTATAGTGGTATCTAAAAAGCTACATAACCACGTAAATAAAGCCATATGTTTAAAAATAAATATTTCTAAAATTATAATTTTTAAATAAAATTTTAGCACTCAAAATTTCAAATTTAATTCACATAGGACACACAAAATTATGTTAGGAATTTTGTATCAAACAAATTAAATGAAT